AGGACTAAAAAAAACAAAAAAACAAACAAAAAACCATGATTGCCTTAGAAAAGCAACCCTATGGACGAGTAGGAAACGTTGCCACGCTCAGAGAAGAGTGTGACAGCAGAGCCCAGCGCTCTGAGGAGAAGAGAACCGAGAACAGGAAAGCGGAGGTTGATAATGGATGGATATAATGAGATGGCAATTTGGGGTTTCAAAAGAATGTGATTAGCTGCTAATGACTGCCACCATTCCCTGGTCAATCTACTGTAACTAGCCACTAATGTAAAAATAATGCCCCTCGGCTGGCTCACTTTGAAGATAGAGATGAGTCTGTCTTTCATACTTTTACCCCCTCATACCTTTTTTCCCTTCAGGAGATGATTCCCTAGTAGGCTGCAGCTCCCTAAAAAGGGAAATGGATATGTGATCAAAGTCTGCCAATTAGGGGTCGTTAGCACCCACTCCTGGGCTGGCAGCTCCGTGAGACCTAGCCCCTTCTGCCTCTGTCACTATCTGCACAGCCCCCAGGCATGTACACTTCATCTCCCACCAGGGAAAGACAGAGGCCCCAGGGCTGTGGCAGGCAAGGGCCTGCCGTGGCTTCCCGCAGAAAGGTGGCATTCATCACAACTGCTTCGTTTAGTTTAAGATTTTCCAAAAGATATCTGCCTCCTGAAGGGCATGGCCTGGATGTGGAGAGGCCCGCCCTCCCCACAGCTGTGCCATGTAAGGACTCTGGGGTGGACAAGGACCTGCCTTCAATGTCTGCAGTGTCACCGTACAGAGGGTGCATGCTTATTCTGTGGGGCTCCATGGAGCAGGGCAAAGGCAAAGGACCCAGAGGCAGAGTAAACAAACAACTGTCCGGAGGCTCTGTCCAAAAGTGCAACAGCAAGCTTTGTGAGGTAGTGAGCTCTCCGACACTGAGGGTATCCAAGTAGCAAATGCTATGAATCAGCTTATCAGCTGCCTGAAAAGCCATTGTGGATGGGACCACACCAGGTGATTTTCTTTTTCATTTTTTCAGTTTATTTATTTACTTATTTATAGATTGATTGATTTTT